GGCCTACTTCCTTCTCAGTCTCTGGGGTGTGGAGAGCCAGAGGCTGCTTCCCCTGCCCTCTCCTGCCATCCCCCCTAGCCTGGCCTGCAATGAGCAAAGGCTGATACAGACAGCGCTGGCCTGGCTTTAGGCTAGCATGGTGCCTGGCCTTTCAATGTGCAGTCCACAGCTGTCCGCTGCCCACCCTGGCCAAGTAAGCATCCCTATACCCATTTCATGGTGGAGAAACAGAGACTCAGACACCAGCTTTCCCACGAAGCAGTGTGAGGTCACAGACTCTGTCTTAGAGAGCCAAGTTTCTTGTCTTCCTTTTACCTCCTTTGAAGTGTATCTTCAAGAAATGGTTTGAAGCCAGCCCCAGCAGGAAAGTCTGTGAGGCTCTTGTCTCCAATTAACTACCCAAAAAAGCCAAAAGTGGAGATGTGGCTCAAGTGGTAGAACACTAGCCTTGAGCACACACAAAAAAGCTCAGGGATAGATAGCACCCAGGCCCTGAGTTCAAGCCCCAGGACTGGTCCAAAAATGGAACGGGGGGGGTATGAAGATGGCCAGAGTCTGAGCGCCGTGACCCCTCTGGTCGGTGACAATTCATCAGCTCTGTCCTTACAGCGCAGCGTCAATGCTGGACAACAGGTGAGGGACCAGCGTGGGCGTGGCTGCCATCTAATAAAACTTTATCTACAAAAACAAGCCGAGGGCCAGATGTGTGACGGTCATGTGCAGACCCAGGTTGCAGGTGACAAGAAGCCCTGGGAAACAGGTTTTCATTTCCAGGAGATGGTGCCACGCTCTGAGGCATCCCCAGTGGGGTAAGAGCACTCTGAAGGGGTGCTCAAAGGTCTTTGCCTTTGACAGCTTGGCCGACAGGCGTCCGCAGTGGGGATGGAGAAAAGAAGAAAAGCCTTCCGGTTTGTTTGGAGGGGAGAGGAGTTAGCAAGCGTGAGGGTGATGCTTGGTGGCTCAGGCTCTGGCTCCAGCATCTTGATGAATGACCCACCCCGCCCAGTGACCCCAGTAAACAGGTGTGTGCAGAGGGCCGAGCATCCTGAGTTTACCTAAGGGGCCTTGAACCTCAGCAGGGCCGCCAGGCAGCCATGAGAGGAGGCAGCCAGAGGAAATGCTTCAGCTACTTGGCAGGCAGAGCGGGGGGGGGGGGGGGGGGGCTGCAAATTTGTTGCCAGCTTGGGTAAAGTTAGTGAAACTTTGTTTCAAAGAGAGAGCAATAGATAGACCGTATGAATTCCCATAGTGAAACCCATCTGTGTAATTAATACAAACTGGAGCGGGGTGGGGAGAATCTCGGGGAAGTACACCCAGGCTGTGCTGGGAGGGGCCCGGAGCGAGGGCCGGGCCGGGGAGAGGGAGGCGAACGGGAATGGATACCTTCCAAGCATTTTGGATGTGAAACAGCTTTAAGATGAGGAAAGGGAATGCGGGAGGGAGGCGGAGGAGGCCGAGTTTGATGGGGATTCGCTATATGTAAGCATGGAATTAAGACCGAAATTCTCTCATTGAACTAATATATGCTAATGAAAAGAATCTTTAAAAAGGGGGCGTGGCTCAAGTGGGAAGGGGCCTGTCTGTCAAATGTGAGGCTGAGGCCTTGGGTTCAATTCCTAACAACACACACACACACACACACACACACACACACACACACACACAAATCTTAGGAAACCTAAGAGTGATTGGTTTTGATTTGAGAGCCATCTGCTCCCAGCTGGGGACTCAAAATTATGAGAATTAATTAGCTGCTTTTGGGTAGAGAAAAAAAAAAGCAGGCAAGTGAGTGGGGGTGGCCTCAGAGCCCCCTAGCTTTGGGGGCTGGGGTGAGGAGGAAGAGACCCCTGGGAGAGAGGAGGCTGAGGAGAATGGAGGATCAAAAACGTCGGCCACCCATGCTGGCAGGACAACATGGCCCAGGGGAAGAAGTTTCAGTGCGGAGGGCTGGGTCTGGGCTGTGGTAAACTGAGGCGCACAGGGGGGAAAGAGTAAGGCCCACCTGTAGGTGCAGAGTCCCCTGGGGCGGACACAGGTGGGAAGGGCAGGGCGAGGGGCGAAGGTGTGATCAGAGCGGAGGGGATCCCACTGAGGCCAGGGAGAGGGGGAGAGGACAAGAGGCTGAGCAGAGAAGGTGGGGGGAGAGGAGGGGGTGGGGCGATGTATGATGGATGTGCTCACTGCCCAGTCAAAAGAAGGCAGAGACCACCAAAGAAAAGGCCGATAGGAGTCTTCAATACCTGACGATCTAACACTGCCCGTCCCACCTAAGCCCTGCAGTTCTGTGGGTGACACGGCTGGGCATGGGGGGGGGGAGGTGGTCGCCAAGGCTCAGTCTCTGCTTGGAAAGCCCAGCGTGCTGGTGTAAAGACGAGGCCCGATGCATTGACAAGGGTCCCAGAGGGCAGGAAGGAACGGCCAGGCAAACCACACAGTCCAAGGAGACCCAGGTCCCCAAGGAGCCGGCCTGGGCAGCCTGGCACCCCTGCCACGGCCAAGCCCATAAACCCCATCTCTAGGACCCACTGAGGTAACTTTGAGCCTTAATCTCTGGGAGACTTGCCTCTAACCAGCAGCACAGCATGAAACCCCAAGCTGCAAATCACAGAGCTTTAGACTTATTTCTCTCTAGCCGACATCCTCTTATGAATAATACAGAGAGGGTTTCCTGCTGCTGCTGGAGGGGGTGGGCTCTCTCTCCCTCTCTTCTGATTTTCCAGTCACCTTCTTTTCCACCCAAATCACAGATGTCTAAGAGGATCAGCTGATGGAGTGCTCCCCCTGTGCTGGGAAAGAGCAGTGGGGGGGGCAAGGATTCAGGACTTGGGGGGAGTCTTTTTTGGGCCCACGTCCATAAGGATGTGGGGTCTGGAAAGGTGACAGGTGAATGGCAAATAGCATGGAAGCATCGAAAGGGACATCTGCAGATGACATGTGCAGGACGCATGACACACATTTCCATCTTTACAGGGACATACAAGAAGGGGAGACAGAGGCACCTCCATGGGTCTCCAATGGATTCTAGAAGTAAAGAACGCCACCAGCACACCTAATATGCTACTGGGCCATTGATGTTTTTTAAAAGCCACAAAGAGGTCATCTGCTACAAGTGAATATGTGTATTTGTAAACACAGAGACAGAAACATGGCGGGGTGGGGGGGAGAGGGAGAAGGGTGTACCCCAAGCTGAAGAGAGGAAAGAGAATGAAGAATTGGGAGATGGAGACTGGGGCAGGGAGGTTATGTTCTAAAGTCTTTCGTTCCTATAACAATACTTGAGGGAAAGCCGGATGCAGCGGCCCGTGCCTGTAACCCTCACGTCCAGCTTCTGCTCTGGCTGCCTCCAGTCTGGCTTCTTCTCCACCAGTCAGCAGGGGAAACAGAGGCAGAGAGGACCCGGCCTCATGTCCTACAGAGAAGACGACTCTTTCCGCCCATGGGCCTTCCGTTCAGGGTAGCCATCAGAACATCTTGCTCTCACGGACTCTCCAAATATCCGTTCCCCAGCCTAACACCTTCCTCGCACTGGTGTTTCCTCACCCCATCTTTCAGCCTAAGATTCTCTGCAGAGAATCTTGCTGAGCATGTCTGTGGGTGACCCAGATCTCTTCCCCCCCACCCCACCGACACTTCCTTCTTTTGGTTGTAATGATCCCGGGTTTTTGAGTAAAGCAGTCAGGATGGGATAGCCCGGATTTGCTCCCTTAGACCGTGGTTTTTCCGTGTTATCACCAAAGCCCTTCCGTTATCACAGAGGCAGACCGGATTTCATCATAATTACCCATCTGCTTAATCCATAATTTCTGATTTATGACCATTAAATCCTAATTACAAGAGGGTCGTCCTTGAAAGGGGAAACCAAGAGAGCTCAGAGAAATGGAGCTAGCAATAAAGCAAGCAGAGCAGGAGGGATGTAAGTCATGGATTAAGGCCACCTCTGGCAGATGCTATTGCTGGAAGTTGTGTAGATTTGTGCAGTCTCTGGCTATGAGTGAATTAAGTTTTATCCGTTGCAGAAAGGCGATAAACTCCTGACATTCAAATAGAGCCGACACGTCTGCCTTCGCTTTGTTCTCCTTTTTGTCGAGAGAAGTTCTCACGAAGCTTGCCTGGACACTGTTGGGTGCAGGCAATCACCCTACTTCAGCCTCCTGACAAGCTGGAAGCTCAGGTGTGTGCTACCAAACCTGGCTTTACCGCAGCATAAGACAATGTCAGCAGGTTTCCTTGCTCTGTTTGCACACCTGTGAGTGAAGTACTTTGGACATACTCCCTCTTCCTCTTAAAATTAGTCTAGGTGCCCCTTAAATAAAGAAGATTTCTTTATAATGACTCCTCCATGGAAAACAACAACCATCAAAACCCCAACAAAACCCTTTAAGGGACCACTTGCTCACCAATAACTATGTATGTCCCTATGACTATTCCTGAATGGAAATCTGGCACGCTCGGTTTAAAGGGAAGCAACTATAATAACTGTGACTATCTTTCTTTGATGTTTAAATGCTGTATTTTTTTTTTGGTCAGATGTGGGGCTTGAACCCAGGGCTTGGGCACTGTCCCTGAACTCTTTTGCTCAAGGCGAGCACTCTACCACTTGAGCCACAGCACCACTTCCAGTTTTCGCCTGGTTAATTGGAGATAAGAGTCTCACAGGGACTTTTCTGCCCAGGCTGGCTTAGAACCAAGATCCTCACATCTCAGCCCCCTGAGTAGCTTGGTTTACAGGTGTGGGCCATGAGCACCCGTTTTTTTCCTCTTCTTCTCTTTATCATCAGAACACATGTTTTAGATAAGGAGGTGGAGACTTAGAGAGGGCAAAGTGACCCTGCTTAAAATCACACTGCTAGAAAGGGGCAGGGTCCTACTTCAATCTGTCAGGACCCTAACGCTTGCCATCTGAGGAGCAAAAGACCTGAACAGCCGCCTACACCGTCTGAGACCCTCTGTGCTGTTGGCCACAGAGATGGCGTAGCATGGCGGTGGACGACGATTCTTACCTTGGGACATGGCTGCTGTTGACTGACTGCCGGGAGGGCGTCCTCACGGTATCTGTGGCCAGGGACAGGGTACAGCTCAGCCAGGACTGCAGGCTGCCCTCCGGCTGGGAGCTGATGGTGGAGAGGTTGTCTCTGGAATTCCAACACAGAAACGATGGTCATGATGACAAGCACGCTGGGGGAAATACCCAGGCATGCCCTGGGCCTGCAGGCCAGGCGCCATGCCGCTGACCCACGGGTCCAGAGCGGTCCCCCACCACCCCTGGGGCATCACGGTGGACACTGAGTTTTGGACCAGAGGACAGAGTCCATGGACCAAGGTCAAGTTCCTTCTTTTCCTTGGGGAAGTCTTTGTTTTACTTGGATGCCCCTGGGTTATAAAATGGCCGAGGACCATGTGGGAGAACTCCATAATTATTTCCTGCCTGAGATGTGTGTTTGTGTGCACATGGTGTGTGTGTGTGTGTGTGTGTGTGTGTGTGTGTGTGGCTTGCTTATTTGCATGCCAAGACATTGATCGATGGATCGACTGATCAGGACTGCTCCCTAGCAGAGCAGATAAGTAGACACAAAATACAGAAGGCATGAGGGCAGGTTTTACAGGCGGTGGGCAGGGTGCCTCTATTTGCCTTGGGAAGCCATGGATCAAGGCAGGGGAGCTAGAACTCTCCCTGGAAGGTGAAGCCTGGTCCGCACAGGGTCTGGAGGAGCTGCGTGCACGCAGGCGGTGGGCGGTCAATGCTGGAGAAGCAGCAGTGAGGGTCAGGATGGGAAGATCTCTCTATTTGTCTCTTCTGGGGCAGTGGGGAGCCACAGGAGGTATTTGGGGACCGCATTGTGAGGGCTCGGTGCGGGGAGGGGGGGGTCCCCTGTTTCTGAGTGGCGCAGGACATGGGTTACGCCTCCCCCGTGACATCATCTGATTATCTACTGAGAGCTACGGGAGAGGGGCGGGGCCTGCGTCACTTACGCCTCCTTCCTGCCACGGCTGCCACAGTCCACTGCGGTCTGAACACTGGAAGGAAACAGGGGGGGGGAGGGAAGGAGGGAGGGAGAGGGAGAGAGAGAGAGTCTGCTATACTTCTGCTGCCAGGGGTGGGGCGTGCGGTCTTTGGGGGATGGCTATCCTTGGCTTTGAATTCCATTTCCAACCTGGGCTGCTGGGTGATCTTTGGGCCTCCTGCAAATTGTGACTCACCGCAGGGCTCTGCCCCTGGAATTGTGGGAGCCGAGGACAACCCCAACAAAGTGCTCAGCATGGTCCTGGTAAGAAGACTAGCTAACTAAAAGAGAACCACCATCCTGCTACTTCTTTTCTTCCCTCTCCTTCTTCCCTCTCCTCCCCTCTCTTCCCTTCCCCTCCCTCCCCTTCCCTTTCTCTCCCCCCCCCTGTTTCTTTATTCTGTACAACTAGAGCTGCTGGTTTTATTTTACTTTTTTACTAGCATTGTTACTCTGACAAGCAAGGCTCTTATTTATATTCTTCATGAAGTCTGCAAATCAGACCCGGGGCAGGGAATTATGGGAAACTCCATACTGATGCCCTAGGCACACAGTCCGCATCAGTCTGCTCTGCCCATGCTTGAGCTCAGGGCCACGCTGGGCATCTCCTTATTCTCTCACACTCACTGCCCACCACTCTACCCCCTGCTCTCTACCTGGGAATGGTCTGCATGGATAGAGCCAGCTGTGTACACTCCCTCCCTGCGCTGCCCTGCAGCCTCAGCCAACGGAGACCTCCAAGTCCACGGAGGGGAGAAGGGAAGGAAGAGCATTGCTTCTCCTGGAATCTATTCCTCTCCTTTGTCTCCCAGGGCTGGCTCTGACCCTCCACCAAAGGCCAAAGCCCTTCTTGCTAGGAATTCCTCTCCTTGTACAGTCTCTGCCCGCTCCCTCCCATCAACTGCCTCTCCCCCCACCCCCACACTCCCTCCTCCTCCTCCCCTGCCTGGACTCTGCATCTTCTCTCTGGACTCCAGTGGTCCCCCCTTCTGTTTCCCGCCTCCCACCCTGCACCGTGGACCATCTATAAAGAATTGCCCTGTGGGATTTCCCTGCACAATCCACGCCACGCTGCCAATCGGCCTCTTGCATTTGGGATCTGCCTTCGGGCTCCTGTCAGATTCGATTCCAATAGCTCATCTCAGTCCAGGAGGATCTGAGTTTTCCAGGCCAACATTTCACTTAAAGAACAAGCAGATACAGTGAAAGCAGAGGTTATACCGTGGGGGAGGGACATACAAAGCAACAAAAAAAAAAAAATCATGTGATACCTTATAAGTACATTAGAAACAATAGCAAGAAAGAAAAAACCACTTGTGTCCCTTTCTTGAGGTTCATTTCACCTAACATCAACTTATCTGACCTTTTCTGCTTGTCTCAGACATATACTAGTTATTGCAAATAAAGGAAACCATGGGACCTATGTTTCTTTGGGCTTACTTCACTTAATATAATTTTTCCCGTCTTTCCATTTCCTAACAAATGGGGCAATACCATTCTTTCTGATGGAGGCATAGAATTAGATTGTATAATACACACACACGTGCACACACACACACACACATGCACGCACACACACACACACACACACCACATTTTCTATTTTCACTGTATTTGATGTTGGTATAATTTGGGGAGGGGAAGGGAAAAAACAAATACAGGTGGACCCATTGCAACAATGAGATGTGCAAGATGCTATGTTGAAAAAACAACCTTTACAATTTAGGCAGGGGGAGGGGGAGGGGGGAGTGTAGTTGAGGAGGTGGGAGAGCAGGGATGGTAGGGGAAAAACAAAGGAGGAGGCAACAATGTTTGATAAGAAATGCACTCATTGCCTTGCTCATGTAACTGTAACCCCTCTGTACAGCATTTTCACAATAAAAAACTTATTTAAAAAAAAAAAGAACAAGCAGATATCTAGGCACTGGTAGCTCATACCTGTAATCCTAGCTACTCAGGAGGCTGAAAAAAAGGATCATGGTTTAAAGCCAGCCCAGGCAGGAAAGTTCTTAAGACTCCTATCTTCACTTAACCTCCAGAAAACCAGAAGTGGTGCTGTGGCTCAGAGTGGTAGAGCACTAGCCTGGAGCACAAAGAGCTCAGGGACAGCGCCCAGGGTCTGAGTTTAAGCCCCACCACAGACAAAACAAAGCAAAACCAAAAAAAAAAAAAAACAAACAACAAGCAGATAGCAAGCCCCACCCAAGACCTGCACTATCCAATGCACATGTGGAAAAAAGCAAGACAAGAATCAGCCACCACTAGCAACCCTCTCTACAGAGGTGACCTGGAAAAGGAGGTAGCCAGGAGGACAAAAATGACCGGTGAAGCCCCCTATATCCCTGGGGCCTGGATTCCACCTGCCTTGGGGACGTGTACCACTGATGTGGCTCCAACTCTGGAGACAGAGCTCGGACCTGCCCCGTGGGTCTACCTGAAGACCCGCTCCGGGGTTAACGGAGAGGTGCTGGCTCCTGGGAACTAGCATTGCTAGAGGATGGACGGAGACAGAGACTCTGGGGCCAGGGGGGAAGTGCAGAGGGGCTCCCATGCCTGATCCTCGCATTTGGGGAGGGGTGGGGGATTAAGCACATGGAGTAGAATTGTTGACTGGTCCTAGCCCTTGGGTTCTGGAACATTCCACATACAGAGGCTACCAGGAATCAAGAAGGACTGGGGGGGATGGCTCACCCAATTCCCTCCCCTCTCCACGTCGCCCTGCTGCTACCTAACTTCCCCTCTCCATCCAGGTGAAAGCTTCACCCTAAGCTAGAATCTCCTGTAAGCTTTTGCTTTGATATAAATAGGGGGGAGGGTGTGTTTCAAAGAGGGAGTTTAAAATCCACTGACTTCACCATGAGAAGAAAGCAGGGATTACAAGCTCCACCAGGCAGGCCCATGCTCACATGCTCCCTGCGTTGTCTGATGCCCTGGCACTGACCATGGGAGTGGGCATGGGGTGGAGGAGGTCGGGGCGGGGCGGGGGGCAGAGGTCCTGTGGGGCAGGGGTGCTGTCCATGGTGCTGATGGCCATGCAGCCCAGCTGAAAATGGAACCCACATCTCCTAATCCGTGTGGTCAGTGGCTCTTTTCTCTCGCTGTGGTGCACATGGCTTCTTTTTTTTTTTTTTGAAGAACTTGTGCCAGAGAATGGATAGCAGACAAGGTCATTGATTAAATGTCTTCAGATCTATTCCTTGAGGGCTCAGCTTTACCTGACAACTACAGTCTAAATGCAAATATCACCTAGGGATGCACATGTGGATTTGTCACCTGCCTCTGTCTCTCAGAGAGGGAGAAGGAGAGGAAGTGGGAAAGGGAGAGGGAAAAGGGGGGGAGGAATGGGTTACATGTTACATGAAGCAGAGCTTGGTCATCCAAAGTGTGGGTGATGTGGTCAGCCCCCCCGCCCCCGAGAAACAAAATCCTGACTTGGTCCCTTAACTGGGTGGGTTGGAGCAATCCTTCTTGAGTTTTCTGAGCCCCGGTGCACCTGTCTGTAATCTAGGAATAGTCATGGCAGGAATCTGGGGAGTTCAGGGAATAGCACCTGCCGAGGGGCAGCAGTGTGGTCTGCTAGGGCCCAGGTGGGTGGTGGGCAGAGGGCCCTTGGCATCTGCAGACTGTTCTACTCTGAGGCATGGGGGGGTGTGCTTTCCAGTCTGGCCAGAGTCCGTGTCCACAGTGAAGACAAGAGGGCCCACGCCTCTCCTCAGAGGCAGCCACCGTCTTCCAGGAGACCCAGATCTTTCTGCCTGTCCTCCCCCCACCCCGCAGCCTACTTTTAGCTCGTTTATAAAAGGACGTTAAATTGGAAAGCATCCAGTTTACGCTCACCCCGGCAGTTGGCGAGGACTCTCTTCATCTCAAATTGAGCACAGCTGGGATGATGCACGTCTAAGGCCACTTGGAAGTCAGAGGGCATCCGTGGGGCCTACCCCTCCCCCTGCTCCCCATACAGCTGCAGACAGACAGCGCGCCAGGAATAGATGGGGAAGTCTGTCAGCCAGCACACTCCTCCCTCCTTCCGGGAATAATGGGGCCTGCTCCGGGCCGGCTGATGCTCAGGTTTTATCACAGCACCCGGCTGTGGTGCAGGGCGGCTGGCATTTCAAGGCCATCTCCCGTGCCACCTGACTTTCTGAGCACGTAGCCATGTTTCCAGCCCGGAAGGCCTGTTAGCACTCAGATTTAATTCCCGACATGGGGAAGATGGCTTTTTCTAATTTGAACATGTCTCTTAAAGCACTCTTTCTCTTTCTCTCTCTGTCTATCAATCCCCCCAGGTGAGTCTCAATCCTAATTGAGAGCTCAGTTTGGAGAATTATCTTGGCCCCATACCTCAGGCTCCAGTCCACACCTAGGAACCCAGGATTGACAACTGAGCAACGTGCACATGTCTTGTTGTATAGCGAGGGTAATTTCACTGTCATTGGAAAGCATGCTTTGTCCGATCTGCATCCTTCATAGGCATTCCCCTCCCCCGCCACCCCGTTTCTCCATCCCTGGGCTGTGGTTTCAACCTCAGATCCAAGCTGCGGGCATTGAGTTTGGAGCCGGGGAGTTAGGACAGTGCTTTGGTCGAAGAGCCTTTGTAAAACAGCGCTCAGGATTCTGCAGGCGCATGGCCTCTCCTCAAGGGGGGGGCGGAGCTTCCGGGGGGGTCATCCACAAGCCCCGCCCACCCCGATGCCCTCCCCCCCCAGGTGAGGTTAAACGTATGAAATCTGTAGTTGGTGGGGTGGGTGAGAATGCTGAAAAGGCTGGCATTAATCAAGATTCACCGTCTCCGCAGTGGCCATTCCTCTGTACAGCTACTTAAATATGGTATAAAAAGAAAGGAAATCTGAAAAAAGATGGTAGTTGCTTCCCCCTCACAAAATCAAACACCTGCAAATAAACTTAGCAAAAGAGGTGAAAGACCTTTACAACGAACACCACGAAACCTTGAAGAAAGAAGCGGAGGACAACAGAAGAGGGGGAAGGCATCCACGGTCATGGATGGACAGGGCAAGCATCGTGGAAACAGCCATTGTACAAATTCCACACACACACCCCCCCCCACACCACCAAAGTTCCAGCATCATTCTCTGTGGAGGTGGAAAAACCCAACTCTAACATTTATACAGAAGCATAGAAGCCCACGACTTGCCAAAGCAACCACGAGCAAAAAGAGCAACGCTAGAGGCGATCACAATACCAGATTTCCACTTGCGCTAAAGCCAAAGTAATAAAACAGCACGGTACCTGAACACGCGCGCGCACACACACTCACGCACACCAATGGAACAGAAGACCCAGAAATAGATCCTCACAGCTGGCACCACCTGATTCTCCACAAAGGCTCCCCTAAAATCCTTTTTAAAAAGTATATTACATACACATATGAAAAGGTCACAATGAAACACCTTAAAAAAAAAAACACCCAGAAAACAACGAACAAGAAAGTCTTTAAAAGAAGGCCCCGGGGGAGGGAGAGAAAGTGACTTGAGGAGGCATTTGATCAAAGTCCGCGCAGGCCCTTGCAGAGATGTCACCATGAGACCCTCACTTTGTACTGCTGACAGGGACGGAGAAAACAGATTTAAAACTGGCTGCATCACGCGGTCTGTCCTCATAGGCCCTGGTCCACATCACAGAGGAGGGACGGAGACCCTGACTGGACAGGTGGCATTCCCCGGGTTCCCTTTTCAGACTTGTCACCTCCCCTGGGGCTCCCGGAGCTGGGTCAGGCGGTTTCCGTGGTAACGGGAGGCGGGAGCATGCTGTCTCTCCCCAGCCAGGTATTGATACCCGTCCCCGTGTGCCTTCCACCTCTCAGCAGCTGTGGCCCGTGGACCACCAAGGACCCCAGAGCTCCCCGGGGGTGGCGGGGCCCATCATTTGTGTCCAGCGCGGCCCTTCCCCTTTCCACTTGCCTCTCCGTGTCACTGTCACTGGACGCCACCTCTTCCAAGGCCGCCTGCAGGTCCGCGATCCTCCGGATGGAGGTCTCTAGATCTGTCTGGAGAATCTGCCTCACGGCCCCCAGCTCCTCCACGTATTTCTCCTGCAAACACAGACCCCCATACACTCAATCAGACGCAAGCAAGAACCCCCTGGCCACCTGTCTGCAAATTCCCGAGAGGCCCGGCCCTGGCCCAGCCGAGGGTCTCAGAGCACCTGTCACTCAGCAAGTGCTCTGTGGGGCTCACACTGTGGATGGGACCCACCCCCGGGGGAACGGGGGGGGGTATACCTGCGGGGACCTCCAGGCTGGAAGGGCGTGCTCCACCCAGGCAGGGTGCCACGTCTGGGCCCACGGCCACGCCCGCGATCGCCACCATCACATTGCCAGGGACCCAGTGGGCGCTTGGCCCTGTCTTAGATCAGTGAGAGCAGATGTACAAACCAAAATGGATCTGAGGGCTAGGGGCTGGAGGGGGCACTCTTTGCACTCTGACAATTAGGCATTATGTGTCACCACAGGTGGCAGGAAGGGCAGGAGATGGGGAGGAACTCCCTGAGGAGCAGGCAAACATGGCTGTGCATATGTGTGTGGGGGGGTTGCTTTTGGTCCACCATGATACTTTCCCCTCTACGTGTTCATCTCTGTCTGAAGGACAGGCTTCAGAACTCAGCCAGGTAACTCAAAGACAAAGACTTGGGGGGGTTAGTGTAATGGACCCTCGGGAGCTCTTTCCTGTTTCAGCTTGCGGGTGACGCGGAGCCTGCCGATTACAGATCCAGGTCAGACCAAGGGATGCTCTGTCACAATGGCCTCCAAGCTCTCCCAGAGACGCCGGGGAGAGGGGGAGTGGGGCTCAAAGAGAAGGGGCCTCCGGGGCAGCCCCTCGCAGCCCGCAGATGGCCTTCTTCCAGCCACGTGGGGCTGAAGGAACCCGGGCACCAACTCCATCCGAGTCGGGAGGCCAGGGACACACAGTGGCCTGCTGCAGCCAAGGTGCAGTCTCGGGGGCTGGGGGAGTCCTTCCAGGATACACAGCAGGAAGAACTGACGGTGTGTTTTGTCGGTCATGGGGCTTGAACTCAGGGCCCAAGCCATTTCGCTTAAGGCGAGCGCTCTACCACTTTGAGGCACAGCTCCACTTCTGGTTTTCTGGTGGTTTATTGGAGATGAGAGTCTCCTGGGCTTCCCTGCCTGGGCTGGCTTTGAACCATGATCCTCAGATCTCAGTTTCCAGAGTTGCTAGGATAACAGGTGTGAGCCACTAGTGCCTGGCCATTGCTTTCCTCTCCCCAGCCCCAATTTCTCCAAGCATCACCTGGCTGGGAGGGAAGGGGCTGGGGGGAAGGAAGGGCAGGTGGGGGTGGGGCTGGGGGGAAGGAAGGGCAGGTGGGGGTGGGGCTGGGGGGGAACAGGACCCCAGGCCTGGCACAGGAACTCACAGCTAGCTAGTTACCTGGCTACTACAGGGAAATCAGCAGGTCGGGCAGCATTTTAGGAAAGATCTGAGGTGACCCCAAGAAACCACCAAATTGGTCGGGCACTGGTGGCTCACACCTGTAACCAGAGCTCACCAGGACGCTGAGGATGGAGGGTCAAAGCCAGTCAGTGTCACCAACCAGTCTAAGAAATGCCCCCCAAACGAGGGAGGGAGAGGCCGGAGACCCACGCCCTCTCAGGCAGGCCCGCCCTCATCGATAGTCCTGCCCCACTGCGTCTGTTTGCCTGAGAACTGACCGGAGGATGCGGCGTGGGCCTGGTGCTGGCGAGCTAAGCCAGACCCCGGCTTCCCCAGAGCCGGTGCCAAGAGGGGAGGCGGAGGAGGGAACCACGCACGCGTGTCCCATACATGGCGAGGCGCCGTAAGCAGAGGACTGAGATCAACACAAGGATTTCTGGGCCTTTAAATCTACCAAGGCACGAGATCCCCAGCTCCTGGCCTCATCCCAGAGTCCCTGGGAAGTCCCGCCACCTGACAGGGTCCGGCTTCGTCCTCACCACCTTCGTTCATGGGACTGATTCCAATGCCTACCAAAAATCCCTCATCAGCAGGCTTTCTTGGCCCTGATATTACCGACTCCTAGGGCCAGATAATGTTTGCTGGGGGCAGTTGGGACATCGGTGCTGTGCATTTCAGGAGGCTGATCACCATTTCTGTTCTCTACCCACTGTCACCTCCTTCCTGCCCGTGGACTGGGGACAAACGAGGACATCTCTAGATACAGCTGCATGTCCCCAAGGGACAATGCTGCCCACCCCACCCCATGGAGAGCCAAACAAGGCCTAGAGACACCCGTTTGAATCCTGCACCCACCACTGTTGGACCTCCCCCAGGGAAATGCCACCTTCCCCTTCCACAGGCAGAGGCCTGGGTTCGGGAGTCAGGCTGTGACAGAGCCCAAGGCTCTAGACAAGGTCCAGATGCCTCTGATGGTGCCGTCACCCGGCTGCAATCCAGAAAGGCGGGCTCTCAGATCTCTCCCATCCAAAGGATGATGGATCAGAATCTGCCTTACCCAAGGCCAGATCACCTCCACAGGGACCCATCGACCCTCACTAGCTGGCCCTGGACACGCCGCCTTGCCCCCAGAGGCCGCTCTTGGCACTACAAAGAGATGAAAAAATATCCCCAGGGGCCTCTGAGATGGGACTGAGATCTGAGGACTGTCAGCCTGGGCAGGAAAGTCTGTGAGACTCTTATCTTCAATTAACTACCCAAAAGCTAGAAGTAGAGAAACAGTTCAAATGGGAGAGTGCTAGCCTTGAGCCTACCCAAGCCCGGAGTTCAAACCCCAGGAGTAACACGTGCGTGTGCGCACAGACATGAGCACACACACACACATCCCTTCCACCCGAGGGCTGGAAGTGTGGATTTAATGCAACCGTGCACCCCAAGCAGTTGGTGCCGTGCCCCTAGCCCAGTCCCTTCCAACCTCGCAGCTGCTTCTCAGACAAGAACACCAGGAGCCAGGCTCAGGGCGCAGCACACAAAGACGCGGGAACCCCTGCACGCTGCTTTGTGATGGAGTCTAAAATTATAACCGCCACTTGGCCACTGCCGCTCCATTTATCCGTTTATTGACTCAGCGGGAAAAGAATGCAAGTGTGAGGTGGGGGGGCTCTCTCTTCTGCTTGTGCCATGTGGGGTGATGACCTGAGTGTGCGTGCCTCTCGCCTGAGCAGCCTCATCAGCTTCTCCTGGCAGCCGTGGGGGGGGGGCACTGGCGGCCCACAGGCCATCCATCCATCTATCCATCCATCCATCCATCCATCCATCCACCCTGCCTCTCCCCGGGCTTCTCCCTCTCTCGATGACAGGAAGGTTTGGCTCAGGGACATGAGCAGGACCTCACAGGCCCAGCATGGATGCACAGAACCTGGCATAGGGGGCCACAACGCTACCAGTCATGCGGGAGACTACTTCAGACACAGCCTGGAAGGCTTCTTCTCCTCCCATCCCACACACTCCCTCTGGGATTCAGAATCTGTCTTGGGAGGCGGCTCGGTGACCTGAGCCCGACAAAATCGTCCTTTATCTGTCTGCACAATGGGTATCATTTGAGCTGTCGAGCTGAGACTGTGCATTTACTAAGCAGAGAGTCTGAATTCTGGCTGCAAGCCTTTTAGCTTTCTGCTCCAGATTAGGGGAGGTAAAAGGGGTCACCTGTGGCCCACCGGCTGTTTTGATAAAGTTTTATGGAAACACAGCTATTCCTGGATGCAATCTCTATAGATGGATGCTCTTGTTTCTTAGCAGCCAAGTTTCAGAGTTTGAAGCAGACACTGTGTGGCCAGCACCACTGAACATGCTTACTCTCTGGTTATGTAGAAGACATGTACCAGGTTCCTCTTCTAAAAGTACTAAAGTTCCGAATCACTTCGCATGGCCAGGTGTGTGATCTGATATTCTGTACCTCTGTTAGGCTGAGCTCCATGGAATCAACCACATCTGACTATCTGACCCACACGAACATCAGGTTTATGGGTGTCAGCTCGGGAGCGCCCTGTTTCCTGCTTCTTGTGCCTCTCTCCTTCCTAAGGCTTCCAGGTTGCGAAGAAGGTTCTAAAGTCTTCCACATCAGAGCTGTCGAATGAAGCCAGGGAGGCTCACTTGAGAGCCCAGCTACCTGGCAGGAGACGGGTTCAAGATCAGCCCAAGAAAGAGGTTTCAGACTCCATATCAACAGAGAAGGCTGTGAATGATGGTGCACCTCTATTATCCCAGCTGAGTGTGGGAATTGTAAAAAGGAAGATCGCAGTCCAGGCTAGCCCCTAAAGGTGAGATCGTATCTTAAAAAGAACCAGAGCAGAAATACCACAGTAGAATACTCCTCTCGTGCAATCAATATATGTTAATTTAAAACATCTTAAGGCCAGGCACCCTTGGCTCCCACCTGTCATCCTAGCTACTCAGGAGGCTGAGATCTGAGGATCGTGGTTTGATCAAAGCCAGCCCAGAGAATGAAAGCCCGTGAGACTTATCTGTAATGAACCACCAGAGAACTGGAGGTGGTGCTGTGGCTCAAAGTGGTAGAGCGCTAGCCTTGAGCAGAAGAGCTCAGGGACAGCGCCCAGGCCCTGAGTTCAAGCCTCAGGACGTGCACGCACACGCACACACCATGCACAGATGGAAAGTATTTGCCCCCTGGCCACTTACAGAAAGCACTTGCAGCTCAGCAGTGCAGCGTAGCCAGCCGCCACTGGCATCAAAGCAGGGGAGGCGGGGGAAGAAGGGGGAGCCATCTTTACTTTCTTTCCTCTCGTTTGCTGGGGGTGAATTGGGTTTTCTCAACAAACAAGGAGGAGCCTGGAGGATTTCCCTTGCGGGTTTCCTGTCCAGAAGCTTCTCTCTGGCAGGGCGCTCGCTCTCCAGAACCACTGGCTGGCTTTAATCTGAGCAGGGACCCTGCAGCAGGAACTCCACAGCCCGCCGGGCGGCTGTACACCACTGGGCACAGGGACAGATGCGGCTTGTGGTTCGTTGGTTTTTGGGTTTTTTTTGGCCACTCTTTTTGCATCCGGAAACTTTGCACTGAGCAATGTACTAGGGAGAAAGCCAGCAAAGTCTTGTTTTAATAAAGGGGTGGCTAATGGATCCCCTT